TTAATATCTGCTTATTCAGTAATAAGATTGTAAACTTTGCTTCATCAGCTTTTTAATTTGATGACTTCTGAATAAACCTTATATTATTTTTAAAATGAGTTTAGTAATTTTTAAATTCAGGTAAATTATTTAATTCATGCATTTTAATGATAACACAATTGAAGCCCTTTGTCAATTGTATTTAAAGTATACTAATTTAAAATTTTTGTTTTTAAAAATTAGAAGTGAATAATGATTGATAAAAATTAGAAGACAATGATGAAAAACTAGAAGACAATGATGAGCAATTGTCTGGAAGACGATGCTCTTTTCAAAAGTCAAAAGGTCAAACTCTTCATAAAGTTAGTGTGTTTATCTCCAAAACCCTTGCATGTCATTTGGTCAACTCTATGTTGCATGTTAAAGAACAAGATCATTTGATACCTTATTTTGTAGAAATTAAAGAAAATCTGTAGCTTTGATAATATAAAAAACTAGGTTGTTTGATTGTTTGTATTTTTGAAGTTGTTAAACATTTATTACAAGGTATGTCATTTAACAAATATTACAAAAATAAGGTTGTATTTTATAAATGTTTCTAATTTATAAATGTTTCTAATTTATATATTTTTCTAAATTTATATATTTAATTATATCTATGTGTTATTTATTATGTGTTTACATTTATTAAGGTTATATGGCTTTATATTTTATAAGTGTGTAATTATCTTTTATATATGAAGAGTTTCTATGTTTGTGATGTGTTATAATGTTATGTGTTTATAGTTTGCATATAGTTATTATGTTGTTTGCATGGTTTCAAATTGCTGTGATTTGGCTTAGTTTACAGCAAGAGTGTTGACCTTGCTAGCCAAGTGTGTACTTTGCTTTAATGTGAATTGACTTTGTTGAAAACAAGAATGTTGTCCGTGCCAGTAAAGTGGTTTACTGTCATGATGAAACACATAAACTAAATCTGTTTGTAGTGAATGTAATCAAAAAATGTGTTGAAAAAATATTATTAAAAAAATGCGTTTAAAAGAAATTTTATTGAAAAGGTATATAGCTCATTAAATATTTATATACTGTTGCTTTTTAATTAAATTTTGTTGAAAAGATATATACTCTGTTCCTTTTTCATTAACAATTTGCATTTTGTTAATTTTAAAAAAAAATTCTTTAAAAAACATATACTCTGTTCTTTTTTGTTAACAATTTATGCTTTTAATGATAAATAAATTTTATTAAAAAACAAGCTCCTTTATTACTTATAGCTCCTCCCCATTTTTAAACATTTAAGTGTTTCTACTTCCTTCATTAAATATGTTAAACTTAAATTTGTTTTTTTTTTATAAAGGTAAGTATACAAAGTTATAACATAAGTTTTAGTTACTTTCATTAAACTTTTAGGACTTTTTTGTATAATGAATGTTTTCTCCATAATTATATATATATATATATATATATATATATATATATATATATATATATATATATATATATATATATATATACATATATATATACATATATATATATATATATATATATATATATATATATATATATATATATATATATATATATATATATATATATATATATATATATATATATATATATATATATATATATATATATATACATACATACATATATACATACATACATACATACATAAATACATACATACATACATACATACATACATACACACATACATACATACATACATACATACATACATACATACATACATACATACATACATACACACATACATACATACATACATACATACATACATACATACATACATACATACATACATACATACATACATACATACATACATAAATACATACATACATACATACATACATACATATATACATACATACATACATACATACATACATACATACATACATACATACATACATACATACATACATACATACATACATACATACATACATACATACATACACACATTTTAATTTTTCTGCATTGCATTATTGACCTTTTTTCTTTAGAATATTAAATATATAACAAAAAAAAATTAAAATAGTTAATGAAGTTTCCAAGTTTCTTCACTTAAAGCAAATATATGACTGTTTATAGAAGTTTTCTATTATTAGTTTTGTATAATTTTCTATTATTAGTTTTGTATAATTTACTTATTTATTGCAAATCTTGAATTAAATACATTTCAAAGTAATGAAAGGGACTTTATGATGGGAAATTGCATTTCATCGTTCAATGCTAGCAGTACTGAGCTGAACAGCCTTATAATATTTTTAATCTTTTTATAATTTCATAAATTTTCAGAATTTTATAATTTTTTAAATTACTTTTTATTGTTTTTTTGTTTTTTTGATTTAATACTTATTATAACTTTAGATTAAGTTCTTGATAGAAATACAATAAATTTTATTATTTTAAGCATCATTTTTACACACTCTTTTGATGCTTAATTATGTCTGATAATTTAAGAAGTAATTAATATAATAAAAAAGGTAATTTAAGAATTATTAGACTTTCTCAAAATGAAAGAAACCAGGTTAGGCTAGCTGAGATAAATCATTGCCAAAATAAAAAAGATGAGCCTAGGCAAGCTGAAATAAATTGTAACCAAAATAAAATAAATCAGGCTAGGCAAGCTTAATAGGTATAATATGCATCGCATAGCAAACTTAGTTGTTAACTTAATTCTTCAGTTCTACTTTGGTGCTCTACCAACTATCATATGCTTACTTTGCCTACTGTTAAAATATGATTTTACTTTAGTAAACTTAAATTATTTAAAATTTGCTATGTTGATCATTAGCTAACAGTTTAAAAAGAAATTATTTTATCTCAATCAAGGTAAGAATAATTTTATTTTCTAATCAAATTACAAAATTTACTTATACCAATAGCTATTCTGTTTTTGTTATTTTGTGTAATAGCAAATTGTCTTTGCAATAAATGTCTTTTCTTACAGATTTTGACTATTTTTAACAATGCTGTAGAAAAAGCATCAGCAACAGGTAAATTGATTTGTAGTGTTAATCTTAAATGTTTTTATTTCTTTAATCGTGTCTTAATTTTTTTTATTTATTTTTTTTTTATTTTAGGCATATCTTACAATCCTTTTTCAGCTTTTGCAGGTCAAATAGAGAGCCCACATCTCATAAGACGCATAAGGTTTGGGCTCAAATTTAAGGCAAAAGCTCCCCCCCCTCCCTTTTCCTCTTTTTTTTTTTTTTTTAATATAGAGAGTGGTGGGAAAAAAATAAGCTGCATCTATAATTAGCATTTTTGTAGTTGGTTAATCTACTGATTGGTAACTGATAATGTAAACTTATTTAAATTTTTTTTTAATTATCAAGATATATAATCTTTAATTTACTTGTAGCAGTAGCATTAAGAATGCATAATATGATTATTTTTGCTTATAACAATTAATGTTTCATTTACCACAATTACTAATATATGTGAAAAGAGTCAGTGTTTTTAAATATTTTTTAATTAGACAATTTTTTTTTAAATGTTGTATGGCAAGAAATAGTACACTGTTGATGCATAAATGTTGAAAATGAAAGGGCATTAAGATATTAAATTGACAAATTAGTCAGCTCTTTTGGATTAGTTTATGTTTGCTTCATTAGGCATTCATTTTACTTAAAAACACTGAAATTGATTGATAAAAGAAGTGTGTAACAACAATTTTATATTTGATAGAAAATTTATTCTTAAAAGGATTTTATAAATACTAACGTAAAAAGTAGCTAGTATTACAGAAGCTAGATATGTTCTCTTAGTGGCAATGGGTGCAGAAGTTTGCATTATTCAAAAATATGAGAGTACATAATAGCAAAAACTTTTTTTATTTTATCCAACTGACAACAATAATGAAAGAAATGACAGTAACAACTCCTGTTGAGTTTTTAAACAGAAAAACTTGATATGATATTGCAATAAAAGAACTTGATATGAATGTTGCAACAACAGAATTTGATATATTGCAATAATTATTTGTTATTATTATATAATGTTTAATGAGAAGATACTTAAAACCGTGTTGAGTGTTGAGTTAGATGGTGCATAGATCATCCAGACCATATTTTAAAAATCCAGAAAATTGTGAGGGGAAAATATCCAGAAAAAATCTGGATTATGTTTTCTCTTAATTTTGCTTTTAGCTGATTTGTTTCTAATTTTTTTTTCAAAATTTTCTTAATTTTTGTATGAGTGTTAAGTAAAAAGGCTTCAAATATAATCAAATATTATTACAAAATATATTTACAAAAATACCTAAACTTTTATGTTTGGAAAATGTTTTGGATGTCCGGAAAAACTAAAAGTTGAGAAAAACATCTAGAATTCATCCAGAACATCCAAAAAATCCAGAAAAAGATAATTCTTGATGGTGTAACAAATTTGTGACGTTACTTGCAAGCACTTAGTGCCAACCAGTGTTAGTATTGAAAAGGTATATAGTGACTTTTTTTCTTTCTGGTAATATAGCAATATCTTCCTAGTTTTTAGTATTCTGTTGTTAACTTTAAAAAGTAATTTAAAAATTGATGTCATGAATTTCTTATATGACGTTAACTAAAAGCAAACATAATAATGAAAGCATGCACAAATAAATTATGCATCATTATGAGCATTATTTATTGCATAATCTATGATGATCATAGATTTATTGGTTAATCACTTACTGCTAGTTTTTTGAAGTAGTCAAGTAAACAGAAAAAGTAGTTAAATACAAATCTATCAAAACTGTCTATTGTTGATAAAAAAAAAAAAAATTATTAATGTGAGGCTATTGAATGGAAAAAGAGTAATTTATATTACAAATCACTACTTTAAAAATAAGGTAAAGGTTTATATTACAAATCACTACTTGGTATTATAGTTGTTGTTTAACATTATTTGGAAAATCTAAAAACAAAGTAAAAAACATTAAAAACAATAACCTATGTTTAATGCCTAGATTTTTTTTTTTTAAACTTTAAAAAACAAAATCCTACTTTTAATGCCTGAATCTTTTTTTTTCTAACTTCTGCAGCTTGATAAGGATTCAATTGTGTTGATATTTGTTCAGAAGGTTTCATGATATGTTCAGAAGGTGCATTTATGTGTCTTCTTTCAATAAAATTTTGTTTTCGAATTTCTTCTAATTGATGCAGATATGCCTTTACATATAAAAATATTAGATTTATAATTTCTTATAATTGATGCAAATATGCCTTTACATAAAAAAATATTAGATTTATAATTTCTTCTAACTGATGCAGATATGCCTTTACATATAAAAATATTAGATTTATAATTACTACTTTATTTTACTATATTTCACATTATTCAGCAACAATATTTTCAAGTCCAAAGCTTTGATTCTGAATAGTTATGAATAAAATATTTATAAAAAACTTTTTCATGTTTCTATGATTATTTATAAACCAATTTTAAAAAATGAATAATTGAATTATTGTATAAATTATTTTAAATAACTATAATAATTCTTGTTTGTTTTATAATTTACATGGCATAGTTTATTTCATAATTTACCTAATTTAATTTGGCATTCATTCATATAGCATAGTTTATTTTAAATAGTTTACTAAATTTAATTTGTAGTTCAAGTCGATTCTACTAAGGCTTGAAACCATATCAAAAGTTATTAATTTCAAATACACATTTCTACAATACAGTTTACATTCACAAAAAAAAGAGTTTCTCTATCCTAACCCTCTTGACCTATATTTCATTTAAATGTTTTTTCTTTAACTTACAACCTATGTAATATTTGTTCAAAATTGATAAAACATTAGAAGAACTAAGTGATAAACGTCAGTACAAAACTTTTATTTTTAAGGAAAAAGAACTCAGTGATAGAAATTTATAAAGTTAAGTCTTCACCAAATAGAGCCACTTTAGATGTAAGATTGTCAAGAAAATCAATAATGTAAATAGAAAAAACAATAAAGGACCAAGGGTAAAATCTTGAGTTATCCCAAAAGATACAATAATTAAAGAAAAGTATTGACCTTCTACGATAATGCTACCTTGAAAACTGAGGTTACAAAAAAATGAGTTAATAATTTTAAAAATTTAACAAGATAAACCTTATAAAGCAACTTTATGAAGTAAACTTTTGATATTTCAAAAGCAATAGCACTTGCCTTGCTACCTCCATCTTTGAAAATATGGTGCTGACTACTATAGAATCTTTCAGTTACATTATTAAGCCGACCAGCAGTGGAACGAGAAAATCAAAAATTGATTGTCAGAGAGTCAGTTAGTAGACTCAATATGAGATGTTAAAAATTTGTTGATCAAAGATTTAAAGACCTTGCTAATAATAGAGAGAAGACTGATCTGACAATAGTTAGAGGGATCAAAATGTTCTCCATGATTTTAAAAATTGGAACCACAAATACCATTTTCCAGCAGACAGGAAAACAAGAGTCAGTCAAGCACTTATTAAATAGTTTAGAGAGAATTGAAGAGAGTTTTGGAGAACACTTTTGTAAGACTAAAACAGGAATGTTGTCGGAACCACAAGCCATAGAAGACTTTAACTCAGAAATGACTTAAGCAACGGAAGTTAAAAAATTTGGATGTCTAACAACAGGTTAACTGCAATGGCAGTAAGAATATGGAAGTTATATTCATGAGTCAAATTAGAAGAAAACTTATATTTAAACAGTTCTGCCTTGTAAGAAGTAATAAGATCAAACCCATGAATTAGAGATGGAATGTTTTACCTTTGTTAATAACACGAAGATTTTTAAGTCTCTAGAACTTTTGAGAAATAATTTAGCATAAGACAGCATTTTTTACTTTGATTTTTTGCAATAATAAAAAGGTGTTTGTTCTCAAGAAAGTTGTTCTTGTGAAAAAAATGGTTACAATTGGATATAGCAGCTGCACAAGAAAGTAAAAACAATTAAAAAAAACAAGAAGAGAAAATGATTACAAGCCAGGGTCAGAGACACAACACAAATAAAGGAGTGAAACTAAGTGATTAGGTTGAAACTAAGTGATTAGGTTGAAACTAAGTGATTAGGTTGAAACTAAGTGATTAGGTTGAAACTAAGTGATTAGGTTGAAACTAAGTGATTAGGTTGAAACTAAGTGATTAGGTTGAAAAGTGAAACTAAGTGATTAGGTTGAAACTAAGTGATTAGGTTGAAAAGTGAAACTAAGTGATTAGGTTGAAACTAAGTGAATAGGTTGAAACTAAGTGATTAGGTTGAAAAGTGAAACTAAGTGATTAGGTTGAAACTAAGTGATTAGGTTGAAACTAAGTGATTAGGTTGAAACTAAGTGATTAGGTTGAAACTAAGTGATTAGGTTGAAACTAAGTGATTAGGTTGAAACTAAGTGATTAGGTTGAAACTAAGTGATTAGGTTGAAACTAAGTGATTAGGTTGAAACTAAGTGATTAGGTTGAAACTAAGTGATTAGGTTGAAACTAAGTGATTAGGTTGAAACTAAGTGATTAGGTTGAAACTAAGTGATTAGGTTGAAACTAAGTGATTAGGTTGAAACTAAGTGATTAGGTTGAAACTAAGTGATTAGGTTGAAACTAAGTGATTAGGTTGAAACTAAGTGATTAGGTTGAAACTAAGTGATTAGGTTGAAAAGTGAAACTAAGTGATTAGGTTGAAACTAAGTGATTAGGTTGAAAAGTGAAACTAAGTGATTAGGTTGAAACTAAGTGATTAGGTTGAAACTAAGTGATTAGGGTTGAAAAGAGAACCCTAATCAGAGAAGTTATGAGTTTTAATGCAAGATCAGTGGTGTTGATGGAATCAGCCTCTCTGAGAGCAGTGGCGTGATGGCGGTAAAAGGCCTATGCAGGATTTTTTAAAAAAAGCCTATATATGCGGGATTTTACCATATATGATGGATGAAAAGGCCCATACATGCCTGGCACTTGTCTGGTAAGAATGATATCTATCTGTTATTTTGACCGAGCCATATTTTATGTGCATTTATTTTATAATTATTTTAGTTGTTTCAAAATTATTAATAAATTTCAGTAGTGAAAACTTCATTTTTTGAACTTTTTATTTTTTATACAAAACAGAAAATGAAGCTACCTTAATAACATACGTCATTTTTTGATTCATTTTTTAAAAAACGCCAAAGCATTAAAATTTTTTTTGAATCAAATAGACTGGTTTTTATCATTTATATTAAAACGTTGCAATTAATTATAATTTAAATTTATATTTCAGTATTTGTTTTATTTTTTGTCTGATGGTTTTTTATAAATTTTAATCCAATTTTTTAGCTTTTAAACCTTTTAAATTTGTTTTATAAAATCTTTAACATAATAGTTTATAAATGCTTATAGAAACCAGTATTGTCTATTACTCTATTAAATTTAAATTATGTTACATTAAATTTAAATTACGTTATGTTTGCTTTTGCGCAAAAGTTTTTTGCTATTAAAGTGTTTATAAAAGAAATTGAAAAAGTTTAAAGACATTAAAAAATGCATTATACATTTTTTAGACTATTATACATAATTATATTTATATAAAAGTCATATTTATATAAAAGTAATTATAATATTTCTTTGATAAGTTAAAGAAAATGGGTTTATTGTAAGCAATCATTAAAATTAATTTGCTACTTTATTTAATAAAGTAAACATAATTATTTATATATTTATAATAATTTACAAAGCATTTTGCATGGTATGGTATTTTTTTAAAAACGCAGTATATTTCTTTTTCCAATTTTATTTTTTGAGTCTAAATCCTTTTCTTCAAGATCATAAGAATAAATATTTCTTGTGACAAAATTTCGATTGCATTTTTATAGATTTTTATTGAACAAATTAAGCGGAACAAAAAAATTCAATTGATTTCTTTAAAATGCAATTTTACCGCCTAGTGATTGTAAGCAAATTCGATTTTTATTTTATTGTTTGAAGAATAGCCATTAAAACAAAATAAAAAATCAAAGATTTTAGTTTTATTATGAAACATAATATAAATTGCATTAAATTATAATTAAATTAAAAACTTTAAATTAAAATAAACTTTTTTAAATTAAATTATAATTAAGTTAAAAAAAAAAAATTTTTTTTCTTGAATAACGAGAAATTGTTTGTATAGATTGTTTACGCTTTTGTTTAATTTTGCATTTTAACTAGCATTTTTGCAAAGCATTAACACAGCACAGCACTCATACCTTTAATATAAAATGTTCTGTTTAGTAGTTAATTAATTAAAAAGTATTTTATATTTTTTTGAAAATGCTATACAGTTGTTTTTTATTTTAAAAATAAATAGATTTTTTTCAGAATGTCAAAAAAAGTAAAAACTGCTAAAAGGCCTATACTTGGATTAAATAGTCGTAAAAAAGCCCATATTTTATTAAAAAAGGGAAAAGCCCATGCAGGGCTTTGCCTTAATAAAGCAAACTTTACACGGTAAAAGGGCATGGGGCAGGTAGTACTCGGTTACATTACACCAGTAGCAGGATGATCATGATAATCCGGAACCTGACCTGACCTGGATTAATTTAAGCCAAATTTTATCTCAATAGTCCATTATTAATTTTTCTAGATTTTATTGCAGAAAAACTACATTTTTTATTAAATGGTGTCAAAAAAAAATTTTAGTTGATTTTACATGGAATTGGCTAGGAAGTTTTTTAAAAATAAAATTTTGGTTGAATTACTTTATTATAAATTATTTCTGCTTTTTACAAATTATATATATATATATATATATATATTTTCATTGATTTGATAGTAAAAGCTGCTATAGTGGTGTTTTAATTTTTCTAATAAAAATAAACAATAGTTTTGTCATCATTTATCTTGAAGAATTCTTATTTTATACTCCTTATTTTTAATCACCAACTGGAAATTAAAGTTAATAAACCAGCAAAAAAGACACCCACTAATGGGTTTAGTGGTAAAAAAAGTACATACATCAAATTATGGGTTTAGGGTAAAAAAAATACATACACCAATTGATGGGCTTGGGGTAGTAAAAGTAAATACCATAACTAATGGGTTTAGGGTGGAAAAAGTATAACTATAACTCTTAATTAATAAGAGTGTTTTAAAATACATTTTCCCATTTTTTAAATACTTTATATATTAGAAAAAAGATTAGTTTATTTTACAGTTTTTAGCAAATATTAACATGATATAGTTTATTTTACAGTTTTTAGCATATATTAACATGATATAGTTTATTTTACAGTTTTTAGCAAATATTAACATGATATAGTTTACTTTACAGTTTTTAGCAAATATTAACATGATATAGTTTATTTTACAGTTTTTAGCAAATATTAACATGAGATTTTACGCACTGTAATTATGATCAATTGAAAATAAAGTGATAACAAAAAGTGGAATCGACTTAACATTTCCCTTTTGGTGGTTTCTTATTGTCATTTATATAATTATTTTATTCTAAAATTATTTTTATGATTAAAAAATTTACAAGTAAAACTTACCATCTCTTGTTTATTTTTTTCATCATTTTTTTTTGCTTCATCAAACATTTGAGGGTGAAAAAATTCTTTTTGTACAATCACTATTGTAAAAGATTTAAAAATACTTAAAAATCTTTAAAAAACAGTTTTAATTGAATAGAAATTACTAACATGTTTTAAATAAACAAATACTTTTAAAATAGACTAAATATCCGTTCTAAAATGAAAATTCACTAAAATTCTATATATTTCAATAGTAAATAAAAGCTATTGGACTGATTCTACCACATTTAGTTGTTTTTTTGTTTTTTTTATGTAATAAGAATATTGAATAATAATTTTTTTGATAAATATCAATTTATAAATTATAAAGTTAAAATTATTTTTACAAACACAACTTTATAGGACACAAAATTATTAATTAATTAGCATTTGCGATTAGCAAATATGTATATATTTTTTTAATAAAAAAAATTTAGCAACAAAATGAAAGTTGGTTGTTTTAATATGACATTAATAAGGAATATAATCTGTAGATTGTGCTTTATCTTGTGTACAGAAATTTCTATACAGGACAATTTTTAAAAAGTTTAAGAAAAGAGTTATTTTAACATTTTAAATTCAAAGAGCAATATAATAGTAATAATTGTGTTGATAAATAATGGTATAGAATGCTTAATACAGAGTAAAGCAAATTATTTTATTTAAAATTAAATAATAACATCTGGTAAATAAAGAAATGACTACAGGTTTCATGCGATCATCAGATGTTATAAATAATTTAAACTTTAGAAGGTTCTACTTTACAATAAAAAGCTTAATCAAGAACCTTTTTTACTATTTTAAATCAAGAAAATGCCCACTGCAGTCTACTGAACTAGTAAGTTTTGAAAACAATTTACTTAAAATTATAAAAAATATTAATTTCAGTGCAACCAAATCTTATTTCCAAAACCAACTGCATAGTGATATGAGTAAGATATATATATATATATATATATATATATATATATATATATATATATATATATATATATATATATATATATATATATATATATATATAAATAAAGTTCTATCAAAACATAGGAATTAATATTTTTTAGAAATGCATGTACCTAAATGCAAGATCTTTGGAAAATAAATTTGATGAATTTACGGTTGTCATCAATACAAATCGCCCATATCTAATTAGAGTTACCGAGACTTGGTTCAAAAGTGTCTCAATAGTCAATATTCAGGGGTATAACATTTATAGAAGAGATAGATGTGATGGTCAAAGAGGAGGTGATGTATGTCTTTATGTAAAAAGTTCGATCAATTCATATGAGCTCAACAAAATAAAGTTTAGTCAGAGCAAAATTGAACAAATCTGGGTTGTATTGTTCTTTGGTAAAGATATATATTTAGTTGGTTGCCTCTATAGACCAAGTGATTAAATTGATATGGCTGCTTTTGATTTAGTTTTTGAAGAAGCTAGAAATTATGTTGATAAAAAAGGGTTTAAAGATGTTTTAATTATGGGAGATTTTATTTTTCCTTCAATAAATTGGTCTAGTGGAAATGTATCTTTTGTTAATAACAATTAAGGGATTAAACATATCTTCAGTAACACATTAAATAAACACTTTTCTAGATCAGCATATAAACACTCCAACTTTCTAAGTCTCAATATACTGAAATAGCAGTTAATATACTTGATTTGATTTTTACGACTAAATCTGGAAATGTATGTGCAATAGATACACAGTTTGTGCTTGGTAATACCACTATAGGACATCTGGTAATATTTTTTAATTACTTTTTTAAAAATAAAATGAAACTTCTACCTGTGAACTGTTATAAATTTGTTTACAAAAAAGCAAATTATGAAAAAATTTCTCAATTTATTTCAAATGTTGACTGGGTATAACTGTACAAACATTGCATGCAATTTATTTATTCCCACTATTGATGTTTCATAAATTAGAAGTATGGAAACTCCTTGGATAAATAAATAACTTAAATCCCTGATTAGGAAAAAAAAAGTGTTGGATTATAAAATCTGAAGTAAAGCCTTCTTTAATGAATTATGAACAAGACTTAAAAAAGCAAAGCAAAATTCAAAATTGCTATATAAATATACTAATAATTAGCTTGTGGTAAAAGATTCAATAAAAGCTTTATGAGAAGACAATGGATTTATTTCACAAGATCAAGTTGAAATCGCTAATATTTTAAACAAATATTTTCAAGAATTTGTTATTGAACCTGATAGTACTCTTCCTAATTTTGAGTCAAGAATTAGCAACTGTTCTAACAAATTTTTGGATATATCTCCTGACAAAATCAATTATAATGATGTTTTGAAGAGGTTTCACAGTTTTAATGAAAATAAAGCCTTCGAACCTGATAAACTCCATCCTGCCATGCTAAAGAATGCTTCAGAGGCATTTGCACTTCCTTTAAAATTAATCTTCAAAGAATTAATCTTCAGAGAATTAATCTTCAGAGAATCATTAGTTTTAAGCCACTTTCCAATTCAGTTTAGATCTGCAAAAACTTCTCTTTTCAAAAAAAGGTGACAAGGTAGTTGCAGCTAATTATAGACCAGTTCCCCTCACATCAGTTGTGTGCAAAATACTAGAAGGTATTATTCTTAACAAAACTGAAACTTATTTTTACAAAAATAATTTGCTAACAGAGCATCAATGCAGATTCATAAAGAATAAATCATGCACAACAAATTTATTAGAAGCAATTGATTTTATAATGCTAAGTATAGAAAATCATACTCCAGTTGATGTTGTTCTACTAGATTTTGCAAAGGCCTTTTGACACAGTTCCTCATAACAGATTGTTACTAAAACTAAAAGCTTATGGTATTGATGGATTAATACTGAAATGGATTGCATATTTTCTCACAAATAGGGGACAGAGAGTAGCTATAGGTGACATTGTCTTTAATTAGGTTGATATTTTTAATGGTGTGCCACAGGGTTCAGTTACTGGACAATTCCTTTTTGTTATCTGTATTAATAATTTTTCAGACACAATAAAAAATGTTTCAAAGTTTATATGCTGATAATACCAAAATTTTATTAACAGTAAAGTTTATATGCCGATGATACCAAAATTTTATCAACAGTAAATTCAGATTTGTATGTCAAATACTATTTTAACTACTTTTATGCCAGTTACGATAATTATAATTATATTTATAATTATTGTGACTGACAAAGATTAAAAAGCATTAAATGTTTTTTATGATATCAAAACAGTTCACAGAGCAGAACATAACTCAAAATAAATGCATAAAAAGTATTTGGAAAAAAAAAGCAAGTATCATTAAATTATATATTGAACATATGAAAAAATATAGTTTATAAATTTAAACAACAAAAATTAAAAAACAAATTAGATAACATACTCTGCTCATTGTGAAACTTTAATAATGGGTTCTCTTCTTTCTTATAAAAAAAAAAAAGAAAAAAAAAACATAGGCGTATATGTTTATAAATTATCATTAAGTTAGTTAATATAATTTGAGAAAAATCTTTTTTTTTTTCAAAAAATGGAAACCTACCATTATTTAATTAACTTCAAAAAATGGAAACCTACCATTATTAAATTATCTTCAAAAAATGGAAACCTTTTTTGAAGATAATTTAATATTGTATACCAATATGATATTATCTTCAAAAAATGGAAACCTACCAATATTAAATTATCTTCAAAAAATGGAAATTTACCATTATTAAATTATCTTCAAAAACAGAAACCTACCATTATTAAATTATCTTGATTGTTTCTCATTTTATAATCATTTGCATCTTTCTTTCTTTTTAAAAAATCATTAACTAACAATTGATCGTTATCTAAGAATTGTTTTCTAAATAAAGTATAAAGGTTACAAATGAAATTGAAATTATTTTATAATTTGGAAACCTTAATTTATCAAGTTTTCACAACATATGTTTATTATTATTCAAATAAATTTTCTTTTCTTTTTAATCAAATCAGTAAAACCTTTTGTTGACCTCTACTACTACCTCAGAGTAAAACTAAAACCATATTTTAATGTTCATTTTACAAAAATAAACTTTAAGGATAACATAATAAATTCTGTTAAAGTCAAAAAAAGTGTTTTTTTAGGGAGAGCAATTAAGATTGTTTTTAATTGTTTCATTACAAAAAAAGTCAATTGTTGAGTTGTAATTTTCAATTACATTATTAAATTTGTTTCCACAAATTGCCTGTTGATTAAAAAAAAAGAAATCATGGGTTCATGCTGTTTTAAATAGGCGAAAACACTTTATTGTACCTGCTCTAATCAATTTGCAGTTTTCCCAATTATAAAAATCCTAATTCAAAATTGTTTTTAACATAACCTATGAATGTTCAATTTACTCCTGAAAAAAATCAAGACCTCCACCGAAAATCAGAACATAATCTCTTCTTAAATCAATTTCTAAAAAAAAAATTTAAATCTTTTAACTCAAATACACTTACAGACAAAGTATTTTATTATTATTTCATTGGAATAAAAAAGTGGCAAAAATCTTATCTCATATGAAATCAGTCGTCAATATAATGGTAATACAGTAAAAATATAAAATTTTAAACTGCATTTTTTTTTATTTATTTACTTTTTTATTCGGATTAAATCCCAACAAGGTTGCAAGCAACCAATATTAAGTTACGAGTTACTAGAAAAAAAAAGAAGACTTTTGAAAAAGTGTAGTTTGTATGAGTCAGGAAAATGTGAAGATGGAAGAGAGTTCCAAAGGATTGGGGTGCGGGAAAAAAAATTAAATGAATAAAGGTTTTTAGAGCATGCAGGGACAGCTACAGTAATAGGATGAGATTTGGATCAATTAAGAGCCAAGCAAAAATGACTTTTGTTTGATGGAACAAGAGATATTAGCTTTTTTGAGCAACAACTATGATACTATTTGTAGAAAAGTAAAAAAGATGCAACTTTACAATGATGAGAGAGGCTTAAGTTTGGCAAACAGGTCTAACTACTTTTGCGATGTATTTTTGGACCTTGTCTAGAAGAGAAAGATCATCATTAGAAGAACCTGCTCAAATATAACAAAAGTAAAACATACAGGGGTGAATAAGAGATTTATAGAGGTAGAGAATAGATTAAGGAGTCAGAAATAAGGAGGAGAAGAAAATGGCAAGTACGATAAAGAGAAGCAACCTCAGCAGATGCTAACTTAGCATTAATTGTATATATATGGCTTCTATAAGAGGTCAGTAGTGAACAATAATCCAAGAAGATGTAAAGAAGAGGACTCAGTGAGAGGGTAGCCATTCATCAATATAGGAATGTCAATAGTATTGCAATAGTTGTTTGCAGTAAATAACTGAGTTTTGTTGCAGTTAAAATTTACAAGCCACTGCAAGTCCCAATCTGTTACAGAAGTGAGATCAGATTCAAGATGGGCTGCCTGTTCTAAGGGATATAACAAAAAAGACTTTTTGTCAAGACAAGATTATAAAGTTATCATCAAATAGAGCCATTATAGATGTAAGGTTGTCAGAAAGATCATTAATGTAGATAAAAAAACAAAACAGGATCAAAAATAGAACCTTGAGGTACCCCAAAAGTTACTGGAATTAAAGAAGAGTGTTGGCCTTTGAGGATGACTTTAATTATGTGATTAAAGTGTTAAAATGATATGGAGTCTACTCCATTACCACTGTATATTGCCTAACAGTTTTTTTCATATTACTAGGGATTCAGATGTATCAACTTTTACAGATTTACAAAATGCAAAAATGTTTAAGGTGTTTTTAATTATGTAAAGCACAAAGCAGCAGTTATGAAATACTGAGATAAAAATAAAAAATAAAAAAAATTGCAAAAAAAGTCTTGTGTTGAATCTGTTGAACAATTATTCCTATCACAAGATTATAATATTGACAATAACTTATTTCCTATTAAAAAAATGGACTTAAAAGAAAAATCTCACTGGAACAGGAATTTCTGTTATGACTTCCAAATAATTTCATCTGGGTCTTTTGATAGAAGACTAAGTATTTTGCTTTACTACTCACCAATCATAAATGATATACTGTATGTATGTGCTGCTATATCAAACTTGAGAAAACCATTTCTTTCTCAATAGTCTTTTTTTTTTTTTTTAAACTTTAACTTTATTAATTTTTTTTTTTTCTTTTGAAAAAAAATTAAATTGTTTTCTGTTTAAACTATTGTTTACATACTGTTTTAGCTTTACGCCTTTATTATTACAAATAAATTTATATCAATTGGGGGCAGAAACATATTTAAAGTAATAAGTAGGTTGTTTTTTTTTAAACCATGTCTATTCACTTTAATAAAAAGTTTCAACATGTTTTTTTGATAGTAAAGTCTTTTAAAAAATGTAGAAGAAAACAACAAAATACTTCAACACGTATTTTGTTGCTTTTCTGGTATTTTAAGCAGGGGTGTGGAGTTATAAAAAAAATTATAATTGGCAATTGGAGTTGTAGCCGGAGTATTAACTCCGACTCCAATTGCCAAATGAAAAAAAAAAATCTTTAAAGGTTAAATATTTTGTACATGCACCTGCAATGCCGAGAAGTTTAACTATTGGAGTCTGAGTCATGATTTTGTTTAGCGACTCCGACTCCAACTCTGACTCCAATACAAATGTTGTGACTCAAACTTCATAATTTTTAAATGGCATGTTAAAACACTATATATTTTCAAACAAACTATTTTTCATTCTCAAAATATTTTGCTAACAATTTTGCCTTCCCGAGAAAAACATTATAACATGTGATTCATAATTGCTGTTTAATTACCAAAAGATTGTTAACTAATCATTTGTCAACGTTAAAATAACTTTTTATTTTAACAATTGTTAAATACTCATCTATCAACTTTTAAAACAATTTTTAAGTACTCACTTATCAATTTTAGAAAAATAATCCATTTTATTTTCTAACTGTTCTTCTCTTTGGTTATTTTTAATATCTGCATTTGATTTTTCACCCTAAAACACAATGTTTTCAATTAACTACTAGAACATTTTTTCATAGTTTGAAAAGTAATTTCATATTTAAAAAAAAAAATAAAAGTTGTCTGATATTTTTTTGTTGCATTTAAATTAAATATATCTTTATCAGTCATAAAACTATGCAATGATAAAAAATATTTTAAAATTTTTTTGATTTCTGTTTAGGGTTGATATATAAAAAATTAACTGATTCATTATGCTAAAAAATTAACCAACTATCTACGACTTTTTGTCTAGAAAAAAATCGCTGAAGAATGTTTTAATAAAGGATCTTATCAAGATTTCTTGATTAGCAAAGCAACCCTAAACTGTCACAGAACAACCTCCTCTACAAATGTTACACTTCTTTTTAACCCATAGTTTTGGAGAAGGTGTTTCACAGTTGACAACAGGTTTGGCTTTTGGTAAGTAGAATTTTATTCCTCATGGATATCTGCACAAACTTCATTACTAAGCTTGTATTCGCAAGTCATTTTATAAATTTAAATTAGGAAAACTAAAAAATAATTTAAAACAATTTCAAAGTTTTCTCCTACCTCATCATAATATGTCAATTTCATTATAAAACTGAAAATATGTATTATCAACAAGAAACTTACCTTAGTTTAATGTGAATATTTGAGAAACTAACAAACTTAACAAAAAAATATAACTTTAGTAAATTGGTATTACTAACCCAGTAATACCAAACTTTAATACCAAATGAAAGACGCAATTTTATTACCAAAAGGAAGTCATTGTATTGCTTAACTTTTTTGAATGTTATCTTTTGAGTGTACAGGGTGGATACAATACATAACTTTTTTCACTGGAACATTTTCACACTTTTATTAGTATAATGGTGTACAATTTATGTTTATACTTTAGCATTGAATTAAAAAAATTGCCCTAACTCTAACTAATGTTTCATATCAATCAAAGTTCAATTTAATAGGAATTCACATAAGTCAAATAATTTATCTTGGTCTCTTGGTGGGACCAAGGTAAATGATTCGATATCAATATATATATATATACATATATATACATATATATATATATATATATATATATATATATATATATATATATATATATATATATATATATATATATATATATACACACACACACACACACAGTTACTTCCTGACAATTCAAACCACAAAAGGACCAAGGTATATAATTCGCCCTTATTACATTATTATACCTTATTACACCTTGTAAAGAAACTTTTTTGTATCATCTTGTACTCTATATGGCTGTATTTAGTAAAAGAAATTTAATAAAAGAAACCTACTTTTTTTTTTTGAAGCCATTTTTTCTAATTTTGTATTTTCAATTTTCCATTAGTAAACAACCGGGGTTGGGTTTGATAAAAAATAGTCAGGGTTAGGGCCAGGTTTAGGACTACAAAAACATAAATACATCCTAAAACTTTCATTAGAAATTCATGTTATTTTTTATATTTATATTTATGCATATTTACATATAAACATCATTATCATCATCATCATCATCATCATCATCATCATCATCATCATCATCATCATCATCATCATCATCATCATCATCATCATCATCATCATCATCATCATTATCAAGCCTTTTATACTGTTTCTCTAAGATAGATGATAATCTCGAACATCTTTTTTCTTTAACTATATATGTTTATATCCATATATATTTATATTATGTATGCATAATATAAATATATATAAATAATGCGTCTCTTACCTAACCTGCTAAATCTAAGCAGGTATGTAAGTTTTTATTTCTTCTGATTGGTTATAAATCAATCCTCATCCTACTGCACATCTTCTTGTGCGGTTTCTATGTTAAACCATATTCATTTTTTTATCTTTTTTTACAAGAATATTTCTTTTGAGAACCAATGTCTTTTTATTATTGCACAAAGTCAATTTAAAAAAATTACTGTCTGATGTTAAGCTCCGTTATTCTCAGTTTACTAAACTTTGTATCTTATCTAAAATGTTAAGCTCTACAGACTTTTAGAAAATCTTCAACATTGTCATTAACTAAAATAAGTCTAATATTCCATCTTTAATTCATAGGTCTGATCTTATTACTTTTCCCCAAAAGAAGACAGAGCTTTTTGCAAACTCTTCTACAGCTTGTGAGTCACACAACATTTTCATCAGCCTTACAAAGAAAACACTTTTGTTAATATATATATATATATATATATATATATATATATATATATATATATATATATATATATATATATATATATATATATATATATATATATATATATATATATATAAATATATATATATATATAGTCTGTTGTAGGAAAAATTATCAGAAATAAGAGTCAATGCTAAAAGATGAAGGTTACATGACTCAAAAAGTACTTTACCATTCACAAATATAGGAAGATCTAAATTATTGCAATAACAATTGACTGAAAAAAATAGTCTTATCTGAATTAAAGTTCACCAGAGACTGTGAGCCCAATGCTGCAGCAGAAGTGAGATCATTTCAAACTCAAATCCTCCCTCCAAGCAATCAAAGAGAGTTGGCTTCTTATCATGACAAAAATAAATGGTAGTTTCATAAGCAAACAATGCTACCTTAGATGTCAGAATATCTAGGAAATCGTTAATGTAAATTAAAAAGAGTATAGGGCCAACGATTGAACCTGGAGAAACCCCTAAGGTTACAGAACAAGAAGAAGAGTGCTGTCCATCAAGGACAACTTTTATACTACAATTGGAAAGGAAGGATTCAATAATCTTAAAGATGTTTCCAGATACACCCTAAGAAAGAAGCTTACAGAGAAGACCAGCATACCAAACTTTATTAAACGCTTTAGAAATGTCAAGAGCGATGGCCTTAACCAGGAGGACAAAAGATTTCTACCCAAGGTCCATCACAAAGAAAATTACGGAAAGAGTCCCAGTCAGCTTTAAGGTAGTTGCAAGATGTGCAATGATATGGAGATTCTGATGATAAAAAAAAATAAGATAATAGTTTTAGAGAGATCAAACTGTGATCAGAAGCACCTAAGGGTGAATGTGGTGAAACTGAGCACTGACTAGGATCAGAAACAAGACATAAGTCAAGTAGAGAAGGAAAATGATTTGGTGATTCGGGTTGTCAAGAAAGCGAGTAGGAAAGTTGACTATTTGAGTTAGGGATTGAGAAAGACAAATGTTGTGGGCTTTTATGCCTGCAGAGTCACTGACACTAGAGCCAAGCCATTCAGTGTGATGAACATTAAAGTTGCTGACAAAAACAAAATTAGCCGATGGATAAAGAGAGAGGGCTTGGTCAATATGATCAGAAATAACATCAAGAAGAGTACAGTCTTGAGATGAAGAAGAACAATATAGAACAAAGAGAAAGGTAATAGAGTGAAGTGGTGCTAAACGAAAACACATAAAAGTCTGTGGATTTAAATTTAGTTTCCCAACAAATGGGTGAATTCTTACAAATGTAAATGCCCAGGCCAAGCATGTGACTATTGGAATCTTTACGAATAAAAAGAAGATAACCGTCAACACTAAGACCACAAGATGAGACACCTGAACTCAAATTAGTCTCATAAAGAGCAAGTAGGTCTGGTGAACTTTGCAAGAGATAAGACTCAACAGAAGAAAAGTTACTTCAAAAACCACGAATATTAGTGAATGATAGGTTTAGAGACTTTGGTGATGGTAATGGTTTTTTGTGTTTTATAGTTTTTGTTACTTTATTCATTTTTAAATTTTTAAAAGAACTTGACTTGAAATATAGATAGTACTCAGTACACTGTTTAATAGCCCAAGCTATTGCCTCATTACTATTATTAAACCCTAAGCTGTAACTAATAGCTTCAATGTGGCCTTGGCAATGCACACCAAAAGCACAAATAGAGACACCATCCATGCGCAACATGGCACTGTTAATACTTTGATATTTTTCAGCTGTTGATGGAATCAGCCTCTCTGAGAGCTGACTACCAGCCGGCCTTAGAACCATAAAACTAAGTTTTAGAGCTGTACCCTCATTAGGAGATAATAAAATGAGTTACCTAGTCATAAAGACAGAGACATAAGCAAAACCCATGCATTGAGTCAAGAAGATCCAGCATTCAACATCTTAAACTGGAAACAATGTATTAAAAATACATCTGCGCAAGCCTAATAGATGGAGAAGGGGTGCGAGGCTGGTCAACAGATAGAATCTGTTTACCCCTTATGTCTTTGCCTAAGAGGCCTTCTACAAGACAACAGCTAGATGCATTTAACATCTGCCCAAGACATATCAAGACACCATCTCTAGCCTTTACTCAACCAAAAAAATTTAATATATATATATATATATATATATATATATATATATATATATATATATATATATATATATATATATATATATATATATATATATATATATATATATATATATATATATATATATTAAATTTAAAGAAATAACTTTTTTATTTTAGGAACTAATCCCCTCTGTAACAAAAAATAAACTGCATTTAAAAATGTTTTAACAAATATCAGAATATATTGATAAGCATTCAAATGGGGGTTATGACATAATTATGAAATACATGCATTAAATACTACTTCTTTTTTTTATTTATTCTGACTCACTCCCAACAAGGCTGCAAGCAACCACTATTAAGATGGGAGTTACTAGAAAAAAAGAACAGAGTTATAGAGCAAGGAAATGGTGACAGAGGATTTAAAGAATTGAAGGTTGTATGAGTCAGGAAAACATGAAGATGGGAGAGAATTACAGTATAAGAATGAGACTGAAGAATGACAAGACAAGCAAGATGAGAGGTTCAAGCTTAACAGATAAACCGGTCTAACTACGTTAACAATGCATTTTTGAATTTGTCTAGAAGAAAAAGAGCATCATTAGAAGAACCAGCCCAAATATGACAACAATACTCCATACAGGGACAAATAAGAGATTTGTAAAGGTAGAGAATAGAATCAGGAGAGAGAAAATGGTAAACACGATAAAGAAAAGCAACCTTAGCAGATGCTAATTTAGCAACTGATTGGATATATGGTTTCCATGAAAGGTCAGTAATAAATGATAATCCAAGAAGACATAAAGAAGAGGACTCAGTGAGAGGATTGCCATTCATCAATATAGGAATGCTGACAGTATTGCGATAATTATTTGCAGTAAATAACTGAGTTTTATTAGAGTTTTTACAAAAATTTACAAGCCACTGTAAGCCCTAATCTGTTACAAAAGTGAGATCAAATTCAAGATTCACTGCCTGTTCTAAACAATTGAAAAGAGAAGACTTTTTGGCAAGACAGGAGTATAAAGTTAAGACATCAGCAAAAAGAGCTACTTTAGATGTCGGGAAGTAGTTGTAAAGTAAAGTAGTAGTAAGTAGTGCAATAATAGGATATGTTCCAAAATGAAATATGAGATGAAAGATTTCAAGAGATCATTACATGGTCAGAACCACCTAAGGAAGAAAGAGGAGAAACTGAACCTAAGCTAGGATCAGAGACCAGACATAGATCAAGGAGTGAAGGTAAATGATAAGGGTTGTCAGGAAAATGAGTCACAAAGTTAACTATCTGAGTAAGAGATTAAGAAATGCAGAAGTTATAGGCTTTAGTGCCAGCAGGGTCAGTGGTATTAGTGATGAGCATTAAAGTCATCAATAACAACAATATTGGCAAAGAGCATGGTCAATTTGATCAGAAATTATATCTAAAAGAGTGCAGCCTTGGGAAAAAAGAGAGCGATAAAGAACAAAGAGAAAAGTGATGGAGTGAAGTGGTGCTAAGCGGAAGCACATAAAGGAATGGTCAAAAGATTCGAACCTGATTTCACAACAAATAGGTGAACTGATGCATATGTATACCTCTAAGACAAGCATATGACTATTAGAGTCTTTGTGAATTAAAGGATAGTACCCATCAAAAATGAGATCAAAAGAAGGAATAGCAGAATTTAAATTAGTTATTATGATTCAAGTGATGTAAGGTTGCTTTGCAGAACACGAATATTAGAAAAAGATATTAGAATATTAGAACAGTTAGGTGATGGGATGGTTTTTTATGTTTAGTATTTTGATTTACTTTTGGCATGATTTAAATTTAAAGAGAAGTTGACTCATTCATAGATAGAGCAAGGCCTCCCAAGCAATGAACTATGCAATTTTCTCAGTCCTGTTACTTAACCCTTAGTCGTAACATAGAACTCCTTATGTGGCCTCGACAATGCACACCAAAAACGTTCACAGGAATACCACCCATGTGTAACATGGCTGTTAATACTCTGATATTTTTCAGCTTTTGATGAAATTAGCTTCTCTGAGAGCGACCACAGAGTTCGGAAACCTTATTACCAGCCGGCCTCAGAAACATTAAAATGACCCACATTAGAGGAGAACAGGAAGAGTTGCATAGCCACTATCAAGGAGGCACAAGCAAAAACCTATGAGAAAAATCAAGAAGATCCAGTATTCATTATCCTAGGCAGGATAATAGATACGCCAGCCTAATAGATGAAGAAGGGGTTCAAAGCTGGTCTTTAAAAAGTTTTTGCCTAGGAGGCCTCCTACAAGATAGTAGCTGGATGCAGTTAACATCTGTAACATAAAGTAAGTTACAAGTGAGTAAACACCGCGCCAGAAGTTCAGACATAATACAAACATACATATAAACATTAACAGACAGAACACAAACATACAGATAGCAAGTTACGGTTGAGTCAACACCGCACCAGAGGTTCAGAGAGAACACAAACACACAGATAGCAACATATTGGTGAGTCAACACTGCGCCAGAGATATACTGTAGTCATGTACTTAATTTACGTCATTAATGATTAATAAATTTTTGTCAGATATTACTTAATTTTTAATTTTTTTTACTTCTTTAATAGCTTATACTTTCTAAAACTATTTTAAACTTGTCACATCAGGCCAAAACATTATAAAAAACATATAATTAGCAAAACATATAATTAGCATTACTCTCCAATAACAAAAATATTGACAAATTGTTAATAGAAAAGAGCCTAGTCAATTTTATTAGATGTTCACAACTTTTTTTTTGCTTGCAATAAAAATGTAACTTAAAAATGATAATAGTTACAAAAATAGAGTTCAATAATAAAATTCAATAAAAAGTTGAATTATAAATACATCTACAATAACAAAAATCACTTTAAAGAAAAAACCTTGATTCCAAGTACATTTTTCCAACCTTCTTCTCTAGCTTTCAAAATTTGATTTGCCTAGGTAAATTGAAAAAAAAACTGATTAAAATGTATTATATATTTGTAGTAGTAGTAGTCGTAGTCACTGTCGCAGTCGTTGTCATAGTCGTCGTAGTAGTAGTTATTGTTGTAGTCGTCATAGTTGTAATAGTTGTCGTAGTAGTTGTCGTAGTAGTCATCATAGTAGTAGTCATAGTTGCCATCGTAGTATTCGTTGTAGTAGTCATCGCAGTAGTTGTCCTAGTAGTCATCGTAGTGGTAGTAGTAGTGGTAGTAGTGGTATTATTACATGAAATAATGAAAATTAAATATTTTTCTATAAGAATATTTTTCTATAAGAATATTTTTCAATCATTAGTACCAAAGTAATATAGTAAAACTGTTTCATAAAACATTTTAAAAACAGATTGACCACTATTAATCAAAACTATTATTTTAAACCTATCAACTAACTAGCAGTGGTTGCTAGGAGTATCTAGGTGCATCTATTGATATTCAAAATGTAATAATACATATTGAAAAAAAAGAACAAAAAGATAAAGCTCTTATAAAAATATTATCATTATGATTTGAAATAATAAAATAAATAATAAATTAGTGAAAAAAATTTTAATCTTTACCTGAATATTTTGCCATCTTTGATTACGTATTTTTTCCATATATTGTTGGTATTGATTCTCTTGCTGCAGAATTTCTAGTCGCTTTCTTTCACGCACATCAATACCCTTTTTTTTAAGTGGGTCAATCTTGCTATTGAACTAGTAAAAAGTAAAGAAAAATATATTACAACTAATTACTGACAAGAAAATACAATAAAATTATATTTTGAAACAAAAAAAAAACTTTTCTACCATGAAAAAAGCAAATAAATAAAGAACTTAATATTTCTTTCATTGATTTTACAACATTGATTTTTGTTTTAAACATTCATAAAAAATTTAAAAAGCGGAAATTATTTTTAAAAGGTTTTAGTAATTAATATAAATCAAAAAATAAAAAATTAAATTTGCATAAATAAAAAATATTAAGGAAGATGAATATTATAAATATTTTTATACTACAATGGCAATATTTAAGTATCCTAATGTATGGTTTAACAAAAGTGAATAATATCAAGCCTTGGTGAATAATATCAAGCCTCGGTGCTTTGGTTGATTCTTAATAGTACAGGCTAGTGTCTTAATAAAAAAAAACTTGTTTTTGGTTAGTTTCACTACATCCAGCCTCTGCTTTATAGAAGGCCACCTATGGAAAGACTTTAGGGGTAAGTAGAAAATCTATGTTGACTAGCTCCACCTCTTTCTGCACCTAATAGGCTGGCTTAGATGTAAGTCTTTGTTACATTGTTTCTTTACTTGGATGATGAACGCTGAACCTTCTTGACTCTAATCATAGTTTTTTGCTTGTGCCTCCTTGATAGTGGCCATACAATACTTTGTGTTATCTCCTGAGGGGACAATTCAAAAACTTAGTTTAATGGTTTTAAGGCTGGCTGGAAGTAAAGTTTTCCAAACTCTCTGGTAGTTCTTTGAGAGACCATCATATATGACACACTAAGCATATGCTTAGGTTTTTATATATGTCAATTATGATTGAGTCAAGTTTTCTAATTATTAAAAGCGTTAATAAAGTATTTAATAAAATTAAACAAAAAAAATCATTATTACCACTAAATCATTTTAATCTATCCTTTACAATTATTTGTGGTCTTTAATGTAACTGAATATTCATTGAATCTTGCAAAATATATCACACATACTGTAAGACTAATTTAGATTTAGTTGTTTTATCTTTATATAAAGGCTTTTCTTTATTACACAGTAGTTAAAACCTTTAAAAGTATTCACAAAATACAACATAATTTGGTTGCAAAAATACAACAAAGTTTTATTGCAAAATATTTTATGGGAGTATACGTGGTTTTTACTAGTTAGTAAAAATTTATATATTTGGATTTTACTGGAGAGTAAAAATTTTAAATAAGATTTTTACTGGGAAGTAAAAAAAAACACATGAGTAATAATCTCATACTACAGGTGTAGTTTCTTATTTTTTGATTCGCCACAATTTCTTATTATAACAATAATGAAGGACCATTAACATTACCTCAAATTTAAAAAAGTGACCATCTGTTAGTACTACCACTCTCAAGTCTATCAAAGAAGTTATAGAAATTGAGTAGAGAATAGTGCACCTCATGTAATGTAGTTAACAAAAACAATTTAGGAATCTTTTCCATGATTGATTTTGGTGCCATTTTACTAGTTAATTATTTTCCTGATAGCTTCACATGGCAAATGTCCATGTATAAGACACAAGTAGGTAAATAGTAATAACAACAGTAAACTTTTCACACAGATCATTTGATAGCAAATTTCACCCTTTTCTGAAAACGCTTGCACTCCTATCTACTCTATAGTTTATAACTGTGGTGCTTTGTCATGATTAAATATGTATTTAATTCTTTTATATCCTACCACAACCTTTCTGAAGATTTCTCACAGCCTATCATTATACCTATGCTGCTAGAGAAATTAAACATAGGAGTAGATAAATAAAGTATATAACTTATATAAGTATTATTTTCTATAAAAAAAACATAAATCATACAGAAATTATTAATCTAAATTTATAAACTAACTGTTAAAAGTTTTGGACTTGTGTCCTTTTTTTAATGAATGACAGGTGAATAAAGGACTTTTTTGTTTTTGATAAAATTGGCTGACAGTATAAATTTAACAAAAACAAAAAAGACTACAATATTTATTTTAATTATTACACACTTATAAACTATTTATATATAGATTTTATCAGTTACCAATATTTGTTCAAAAATGTATTACATCAAAAGAACTTTACACAATATCAAACTAATAAGAAGCAAAAAATTTAGCAAACACATTTGTGAAAATAATTCTCTTAAACAAAAACACTTTTTTACAAGAAAAAAAAGTATTAAACTTGCTTTAGCATATTATAATCTGTTGGAGAGATATCTGTTACCTAATTTTTTATGTAAAACATAATAAATAAACATAACATGTTTATTGATTAGAAAAAAAAATTCTTAATTTTGTTTAAATTAAATATTTGTTGAAAAAAAATTACTTTGTAAATTTTTTTTGAAAAATTTAGTTCTATTACTTTATCTCTAAATCCTTGAATAGAATTTGTAAAAAAATAAAAATATATTAGTATTATTGTTTAAATGATAAAACTTTTAAGTTAATATTGTAAGTATTTTTTTTATGTTCTAATTAATAATAGAATATGCGGAAAACAAATTTTGTGACTTTTAAAGTATAGTTTTATTATTATTTCACATCACATCACATTCATATGTTAGACTTATGTATAAAAAAAGTTTTCAACTGCTTTTTCATTAATTCAAGAAGCTATTTAAAAACTATACAAAAAATTTTAAGATTTTAAAATACTTATACAGTTAAAAACACATATATCATTTCACCTGGTTTTTTTTCTCTAGTCCTTGTTTTCTAAATAAAAAAGTAAAGCAATATAAACAACTGTTAAAAGTAAATAAACAATCATATGTTATTTTAAATTAAATAATGACTCGATCCATTATCAAATCTAAATTTTGTAAACATGGCATTTTGCATAATATAAAATAAAATTAGTTCAAATCTTTAAAATTAGTGCAATACTTAAAATGTTTTAAAATATTTTACTTTTATTTTAAAAACCACCTAAAATGTTACATGGTCATTAGCTATCCATCAGGCTTTCTTAGAGATCAGACTAAAGGAGGAGAGAAAATATCTTCATTTATCAAACAGGAGTCAACTTTTAACCTCTTGTATGAATAGTAGAAATTGTATGAACTAAAAAAAATTTTTTTTTTCAGATGTCTTTTTTTATTTTCTTTCGAAGTTTTTAAGTTCCAAATTTTAGATCTGGACCATTTAAAGAGTGGGCACTCTTATTTTAAAAATTCTCATCAAAGTTTAGTCAGTGTGCGAATTAAACACTATGAATCAAAGTTTATATATGCCAGGGCATCAAAATTTGTATGTGTCAGTGCAAGAATTAAAAACCACAAGTGGTTTTTTTAAACTTTTAAAATCGATTGAATTTCATTAGAACTATACAAACTACTTTGTTTATACTTTGTTTATTGAGTAATAAAGAAATCATTCAGGCTAAGTCAAATTTCTCACATCTATTTTACAATAAACTAGTTACTAACATATCAAAACACGTTCTAACAGACAATGAAAAAGAGCTCTTAATTTTGGGTTTAAATTTTATTCCTTCAATTACAAATACGTCACTTAATATGCACATAACAGCTTTTGAAAGATTTAAAACAACCCTTCTCCAACAACTCTACTTTGGGACCGAAGAAATAATGAGGCATCCATTCCATAAAAAATCAAATTGGTCTCCCCCTATGACAAAAAACAAAACTATTATAAATTATCTTAACTTGGTAGAATGTGATATAACCGCACTTATTTTCTCACAACTACCGAAAGATAAAAAAAATTTAACTCTTTAAATTTTTTTTATCTTTCGGTGTTTAAATTTCTAAATTTAAACTTATTCACGCACTAAACTCCCTTATGTTTAATCCCACAATTATCATAAAAAAGGCCGATAAAGGAGGGGGTATTTGTATTATAGATAAAACTGACTATGAAGAAAAGATCTCTCTACTTTTATCAGATAAAAATACATATAAACTACTCTCAGAAGACCCAACAAAAAGTATTGTGAAAGATGTTAACAATCTTATTGACTATATGTTTCTTCATCATATGATTGATAAAAAAACATCAGAGTTTCTACGACCAAAAATACCCCATTGTACACCCCTGTTTTATGGCCTTCCCAAGATTCATAAGATAGGCACTCCCTTAAGACCAATTGTTTCTGGTTGTGACGGACCAATCGATAACTTATCGTTCTTTATCACAGAATTTATTCAGCCAGTTGCTGAACAATTACAAGCATACTTTAAAGACACAATGCATTTCCTTAAACTCCTTCAATCTCATGTACTAGAAACCAACAATTACATTCTTGTCACAGCTGATGTTATATCTCTGTATACAAACATTCCTCATCGCGAGGGTATTGACGCTGTAAAATTTTATTTAAAGAGAGCACCGCCATTTAACGGACCCATTAAACGCCCACCTATTGCTTTTATTGACATTATATTAGAAACAATCCTAACCCACAGCAACTTTCAATTTTCGACTGATCATTTTTTACAATTAACAGGTACTACCATGGGGACACGTATGGCTCCACCCTATGCTAATCTATTTATGGGAAGAATTGATGAGAAAATAATTGACCAATTTTCAATGTGGATTTCTTTTTATAAACGTTTTATAGATGATATATTTTTTATTTTTCATGGGCCTCCGGAGATACTAACACAAGTTTTCGAATTTATGAATGCCATCCACCCAACGATCAAATTTACTCAATGTTAACTCAATGTTATCAATATAACTTTAAAATTCAATTTTAATATTTCTAATATTATTTTGTTTTTAATGTTATAACTTAAGCTAAGCAGACAATATAAATTAATTATTAGACATAAAAACCCATTTCATAAAATAGACAAGATGTGTGGATCTAATTTTTAAACTTGAAATCCAGGAAACAAAATTTTAAATGTTTTGAACAAAAAAAATATAGAAATACCTTAATAATTTACCACCATAAATTTGAACAGGTTGTAATAATGGTTTAGCTAAAAAAATAAAAATAATTTTAAATTATAAAAAAAACCTTTGAAAACATTTTTTACTTATATACATAAATGTTACGCACAGTAACAAGTGTTGTAAAAATGTATCAAAAAGAATTTTACAGTTAGAAAATTGTATTACACACACATTACATGTATGCTATAATGTAAAGATTCATAAATATAGAAAGCAAGTTTTATGAAACTTTAACATGGATCAGTAGTTAAAAAAAAAAATACAATTTTTTATTTAGCACTAGTATAAAGGCTTCTATTATAGTTTAACAATTCTTTAACTGAAGAAAATTAGAGAGTAAGACAACTTTAAAACAGGTTTCTATTTGTTTCAATTATATATATATATATATATATATATATATATATATATATATATATATATATATATATATATATATATATATATATATATATATATATATATATATATATATATATATATATTTATATATATATACATATATATATATATATATTTATATATATATACATATATTTATATATATATACATACATTTATATATATACATATATATATATATATACATATATATATATATATATACATATATATATATATACATATATATATATATATATATATATATATATATATATATATATATATATATATATATATATATATATATATATATATATATATATATATATATGTATGTATATATATATATATATATATATATATATATACATATATATATATATACATATATATATATATACATATATATATATATATATATATATATATATATATATATATATATATATATATATATGTATGTATGTATATATATATATATGTATATATATATATATATATATATATATATATATATATATATATATATATATATTTATATATATACACATATATATATATATACTTATATTTATATACATATATATATATATATATATATATATATATATATATATATATATATATATATATATATATATATATATATATATATATATATATATATATTTTGCTAAATCAATTACACGCATTAAAATTTAAATTTTGCAAATCTTTGTTGTATTTAAAAATTCTTGCTTCTGTTTAAAAGTCTTGTTAGTATTTAAAAGTTTTAAAGTTAAATTAAATTAAAGGTTTTAAATTAAATATAAAGCTTTCAAAAGTTAGTTCAAAAATAAAATTGCAATTTAGAGAAATCAAAGTTTAACATCAAAAGTAAATACTTATGAATATTATATTTAGAGTAATGTTTTTATCTGTTTAATATTACCTAAGTTTTGTTTTGCAACTTCTGAAGTAGATTGAAATATAAAACTTTTCAAAGGAACTATGGTTTTAATTAATTTAGTCAGAGGAACTAATGGTTTTACTCAATTCCTGAGGGATTCCCCAAAATTTTTTTCAAAAAAGATTTCTCTTTTTTTTTTTTTAACAAAGCAGGTTTTTAATAGTAAGTTTTGATCTTTTAGGGTTTTTTGACCCCCACTAAAAAGTTACACCATGGCTCATGACTCTAAGTGTTATAATTTAATACAGTTTACACATATTATGTCTAAGAAAATGCTGAAAGTTAATTCTACAGTTACACAAATAAAAAGTGAAAAAAAAAATTTGATTGGCCCGTGTGAATTATCAATGACAGACCCAAGCACTTTTAGACAGATTATTCAGTACTATTACTATCTTATTCATATAAATCCAAATGCAGATATCGTATTAGTACTCAGTAAATAAGCAATAATATAAAATCAATTTGGGCTACAGTAAACCCAAGATTACCTCTTATAACTGACAAATCTATTAATAGGAAAGTTAAAGATCTTCTCATACTTGTTAAGGATATTAATTGCAATCAGGGAAAAGCAAGCGCTAAAAGAAATCTTGATGCAAATTTGGAAAAACTTTTTTGATATTTCTGTGTGGTCCTGTTTATTAGATGTGTTTCCCTGTAGTGGCAGAAAAGTTTCATGTAATAAGGAAAATTGTATAGAAGAGCATATTGAATGCCTTTGCTCTCAAAGTAATAGAGTACTTCTTGAAGACAGAGCTTATCTTTGTGATCAGAGGAAAAAAATCTCTTCTGTTGATAGACTATCTGTCAAATAGATTCAATGACTTGATAAAGAATGACAAAAAATATCTCATAAGTTAGTTGACGAAGATAATTCCCTCTTACCACACATAAACTTAATTGACAAAACAAGTGGTTTTTCCAATATGGAGGCAAATATTTTATAAATACATGAAATATTTGCAGCAGATGAAACAGAAAATCTTTTATTTTATTAACTTTTTTAGGATGAAGTTGAATGGAAACCAATAAATAAACCTATTGGAAAATACAACTTGATTAAACTTCCAAGATTTACAATGGAACTAGTCAGGAACGAGTTTTCTTCAAACATAGGTGCAGCCCTTGCAAATGCTTTACTACATGACACTAAACATCTCCGGAAAAATGACGTTGATATAAGATATTTTGGTTGACAAATTCAAATTAAATAGGGTCAAGTTAAAAGTAAAAACTGTTAGTGAAAATGTGGACTCAGAACAAAATAAAACATCTTGGGGTTGATAGCAAGCTCAATCAGATAACTAAAACAAGTAAAATAATAAATTTTTTTCAAGGAGTAGTTCAAGGGAAGTGGGGGCATAACCGCCACTGTTACGTTTGGATTGGTGTTAAATGAAAATAAAAGCAAAATGTGTCTTTTCAACAATTTATTTCAATAACCACATTATTAAGCTTTAAATTGCTGTAATTAGAAAAAAAATAAAACGGTTTTTGAAAATGTTATTACACAAAAAGTACACTTGGTGAATATAAAAGTTTAGGTTATTTTGATATCAAAAATGGTTTTCACTTGATGAAATAACTCTGATAACACATATCTTTAACACTAAAATCAAGTATTGCTTAATCTTCAAAAGAAAGGTCCGGAAAAATATGATGTAAATATAATATTTTTATCAAAAGAAACCTTATTATGCACAACCTCTCAGAAATGCATCAGACACTCTTTTTGACAAACAAAATGAAGGAAACTGTTTTACCAATGCGTGGCATGTTTTTTGCCATATTAAATAACATTTTTTAAAGGGATATATTAAAAAACAGTTGTGCCTCCATATGCGGTTATGTCCCCATTTCCTCTACTAAAGAAATGCATTGAACCTAAACATCACTTCACATTTATTTATGAAGATGGAAAATTGAGTGGAAATTATTTGACTAATAGGACAATTGCTGTTTCTGGTACTACAGGCTTAGTTCTTGCTATTGAAATCCTAATGTTTTACAAGAACATAATAGTGGAAAGTATACAAGCTGTGCTTCTTGATAATAATGCTACCAATACTGGACTAATAAGTGGCTTAGCGGTAAAACTAGAAGAGTTTTTTTAAAAAAATACATCTAATTGGATGCGCCTTACATCATAATGAACTTCTGTTGCGTGCTCTTTTTATAAAACTTGATGGTAACACAACTGGGCCAAGAAGCACTGGTCTACGTGGCAAAAGAAATGCTGAAAATATTCAGGATGGAAATCAAGTTTTGTTTGAATGTATTGAAAACCCAATTGTAGATGGATATATTCCAGAAGTAATACTAATAGACCTTAGTTGCAACCAAAAACTTTTATTTGAATATTGTAAAGGTTGAATATTGTAAATGTTAAATATTTTAAATTTTTAACATTGTAAAGGCTTTGGTAAAGTTTCTTTTTATAAATTGGACCCCTAAATAATCATGAAAGGTAGTTAACTCTAGCTATTCACCTTCTCTGTTTGTATACTAGAGACAATCAACCAACCATAACTTTAAAAAAGCTTATATTTTATTGTTCAGGTTTATGCTCCAGCTGGTTTGAAATAAAATAATCTTCAAAATTTCACAAATCCCTGAGCCTTATTTTTCTACTTACTATTACTACAGTAATCTCCCCTTTAATATTGTTAAACTTATTGCTAAAAAAACATTAAAAACAATGCATTGTGCCTAAAACCTAAAAATATTCTCTATGCCATACTAAAAGATAATGACAGCATGTTACAAAACTTTGTTTTTCAAATTCTACTGGCTCTGAGGCAAAAGTATTTTTTTATAGATAACTATTTTTTTATAGATAACTGCACCAATTTACTTAATTACCACAAAACTACTTTAAATCATTAATGTAGAAACAGGTTAAAAATAAACTTTAAATTCCAGGATATTTCCAGGATTTTCAAGGATAATTTTGGATTATTCAAGGATTTATTTTCTCGACAATTAAATAACTAGTAAAAGCAAAATATACTTTCTTAGAACAAAATAACAAAATATATATAAATATATTTAAATACATAAGTATGTTTTGATATAAACTATTTTATTTCATATTTTTTTTAGATTGCTCAAGTTTTTTTAATGAAAGGTCAATGTCTTGAATTGCTTGTTCTTTTTCTAATTATTATTAAAAATTATTCGAAAAACTATTGACGTTCTATTTTTAGCAGCTGTTCTTGAGCGCGCTTTGTTGAGTTTCGGTAACTTTTAACAAAAAAGCGATTGTTATTATTTAAGTAATTTTTTTTTGAGTTACTTTTTACAAAAATTTTAATAGCTGTACTTTTTTATTGAATCAAGTAGAATACGTTTTAATATTAATCCTTTTATTTTTTTTTTATTTGCGCTTACCAATTTTCAAAATGTTTACTTGAAATTACTCTTAAATACTTTAAATACGTCTAACAATTAATATATATTTTTAAATCTATGGAATAATTTTAAAACCTAACAAACCCCCGTAAAATAATTATTTAAGTTAAAAATCTAAAACTAAAAGAAAGTATTTTTGTTCAATTTATTAACAACTTTGCTATTGCTGAATAATTTTATTAAAATGTTAGCTTAAAAAGATTTAAACTTTTTTTCTAATCTGAATTTTTTCTACTTGTAAATAATGAGCATATTTAATTTTTTTGTAATTCAAACTTT